ACATCACTATTTGTATTAATTTATTCTATATATTAATATCATCTCACAGGAAACATTGTTGGTAGAATATACCTAATGAAAAAGTTTCAATTTCATCATTTTTAACATTATTATTATTATTATTCTTTTATAAAACAAATATCTAATTAAGTGAAATATTTCCACCCCACATCCAAAATACCATACAGAATCCCCGACTTTAACAATGGGAAAAATAATTAACATCTGAATGCTTAAAAAAAAGTTTCCAGTGATAGATTTTAATGAAAGAACCTTAATATTTCATACAAAATTCTTAAAATGCTGTTTCCAGTTTCATTTCTTATTTTTTTAATAAGCTTGTAAGCCTAAGTATTTTATAACAGTCACTTTCAATTTATTAAAATTAATAATTATTTATACACCCGTTTTTATGAATTTAAAATAATTCTTTTATAACCATCTTGATTTTAATTTTAAAAAAAACTATTTTCAGTTACATTAATAGATAATTTGTTTACACAAAAGAATTTCCTACTTTTTTTGGAAGTCATTGTTGATTTGGAATTTTAGTAGAGCTAAATGTTAATACTATACCATTACCAAACAGTAACTTTCCAATTCAAATTAGACCATAAACCATTTATATAATAAAAGATGGGTCCATTTACAAAACCATGTGAAACACCATACTTTATTATATTCATAGTTATTTTTCACAATCCGTGTTTTTACATAAATAAGATTACCTGTTCAATCCAATGCCTCTAAATCACTAGAATAATATTTTATTTGATGTGATACTGTATCAAGTGGTGATGATCTGTTAGTCCAGGGGTCCATTACTCCGAAGATAAGCTCTTCGTTTATTAAACATTTAAAATGTTAAATTAATTGTTTGGTTAAATTTGTGAAATTTAATAAAAATACGCCTAATATGACCTAAAAATGTTTATCATCATTTCCCCGCTGTTAATTTCTTGTATGCACAACCCGCACATTTACGCAGAATCTAGCTCTCTAACGGCTCTAGGTTGCTTTTTTTTTCTTTTTTACAAGTACAAAATCTTAGCTCGTAACTCATCTTTTGACCCATTTGAGATCTAATCACATCGATTTATGCATTTGATAACGCACAAGGTCTCGTAGATTAATGTACTTCAATTCTGCCTAAAAGAACTTATTTGAGGGTAGGCTAGTAGAGATCCTGATGAGTAATAAAATCAAATCTGGTATACGCGCGCTTCACGCTTGGTATTGCTGGAGCACAAGAATATAGGTAATAAAATCGAGAGGAGGGGAAAATCTCTTGTGTTTTTGTTGTTGTTTATAGAAATTCAGTTAACCAGAATTATTCTTTTTTCCCCGATATTTTAGAAGATATCGATAATGATTAAGAGCCAATAATAACGGTTCTATGACAATTTAGACACTTTCTTGTCACTAAAATTCCATCCTGC